CTGTGTAAAGTCACAGTATCTATAAATTACCCATAGTCTTAAAAATTCTAAAAATGAAGAGCAAAAGACCTTAATAATTCAGGAGATTGAAAGAATTACAAACAGTGATGATGGTTCCAATGGGTGAGAGAGCAGGAGGATGAAAGAGGATGAGGATGAGGATGAAGACTACATTGCATAAACATAAGAAAAGAGGATAAAGGGGGGAAAGGAGAAAGAATGGGATGAATTTAAAACAGTGAATAACCACAGAATAACCAAAACCTGTGAATGTGACAAGAGAAAAATGAAAGCAAGGAAAAAGATAAAGACAGCAGATAGACAAAGATTAAGTGTAAGAATGAGTGTAAGATATTCTATGACATCTTGAGTGTAAGGTCTGCATTTTATACTACTGTTGCTATCGTTATATTTTTATAGGAAAGATTCGTACTTTTGAAACTCTGATACAACTGGCCATAGAACTAACTAATAATGTGTAAATGAGGCACAGTAAGAAGTACAATGACACAGACAGAGAGACAGCATGGGAGCAGGCGAGAGAAACGAGAGAGTAAGGGAAGCATGGGAAGGGGAGATGGAAGAGGAAAGGAAAACAGCTGTTAAATGGCAGCAATGGAAGTGAAAGAAAATGAAAATCATGAGCTACCCCAAACAACAGAGAGACATGGGGACAGAGTGAGAGCCCAGGCGATAAAATGAGACAACAAATAACAACATTATCACATGTTGCATTAAATATTCCATCCATCGATCAATCCATCCATCCAGAAATTATGTTCAGGGTCTGTGGGGGGCCCAGCCAGCACAGGGCACAATGTAGGGCTACATCTTATGAACCATATATAAATAAAAAATCAATCAATATAGTGTGTCTAGTGCTACTATGGGGTTATGTATTTAGGATGGTCATTCACTCTTTCCTTATGAATTCCCTTCACATCACCAGGCAATCTTCTCTTAATTCAGACACTCTGTGTTTTGGTGTTTGTGCAAAGAAATTAAGTATTCCCTGCATTCAGGGCAATATCATCTGAGATATCTTCAAGAAACTGTTCTACAAGGCAATTTGATTGGAGCGTCACTTCTTTATCTGTAACCGAGAAAAGCCAATTAGTGCCCACTGGGCCCGAGTGATGGAGCTTATGCTTATATGTAATACAGCAAGGGGGAAGAAAACACATTCAGGGTTGAAATCAGTTTAATATAGCAGCCCAAACCAAACACCAGGCCAGTTGCAGCAAAACAATCTTAGTACTTCAGATCAGAGGAGAAAAATCCTGTAGGATTTCATGAATGCCTTACCCTATTGGGGTCGCTTATGCACCAATCAGCCAAAACATTAAAACCACCTGCCTAATATTGTGTAGGTCCCCCTGTACTACCGAAATATCTCTGATCCATCGAGGCATGGACTCCGTAAGGCCTCTGAAGGTGTCTTCTGGTATCTGGCACCAAGACATTAGCAGCAGATCCTTTGAGGCCTGTAAATTCTGAGGTGGGGTCTCCATGGAATGGACTAGTTTGTCCTGCACATCCTACAGATGCTCGATCAGATTGAGATCTGGGGAATTTGGAGGCCAAGTCAACACACTGAACCCTTTTGCATGTTCTTCAAACCATTCCTGATCAATTTTTACAGTGTGGTAGAACATATTATCCTGTTGAAATAGGCCACAGCCATTGGGGAATACTTGGTCTGTAACAATGTTTAGGTAGGTGGTACGTGTCAAACTAACATCAACATGAATGCCAGGACACAAGGTTTCCCAGCAGAACATCGCCCAGAGCATCACACTGCCTTGGCTTGCCTACTTCCCATAGTGCATTCTGGTGCCATCTCCTCTTCAGGTAAACGCCGCACATGCACCTGGCCATCCAGATGATGTAACAGAAGATGTGACTCATCAGACCAGGCTACATTCTCCCAATGCTCCATGGTCCTGTTCTCACACTCACCTGCCCATTGTAGGCACTTTTGGTGGTTGACAGGGGTCACCATCCACATTCTGTGGCTATGCTGCCCCATACACAGCAAGCTGTGATGCACCGTGTGTTCTGACACCTTTCTATCATAGCCAGCATTAACTTTTTCAGCAATTTGTGCTAAAGTAGCTCTCCTGTGGGATCAGACCAGATGGGCTAGCCTTTGCTTCAGTTATCAGGCTGAAGGAGGTCTTCAGGGCTTGGTTAGCTTGTGGGAATTCAGAAGTAGTGGACAGGAACCGGCAGACCAAGTAGGAAGTGGCTCAGGTGGTTGCTGAGGCAAAAACTTGGGTGTGGGAGGAGTTTGGTGAAACTATGGAGAAGGACTTTCAGTTGCCCTCGAAAAGGTTCTGGCAAACCATCAGGCAACTCATGAGGGAGAAGCAGGGCTTCACCAATGCTATTTGCACCAGGGATGGAGAACTGTTGACCTCAACTGGGGATATAGTTGGGCAGTGGAAGGAATATTTAGAGGATCTCCTAAATCCCACTAATACGCCTTCCTCAGAAGAAGGATCTCAATGTCTTGTTCACGAGTGAGGGAAAAGGGGAGCTGGAGATCGACAGATGGATCATTGCAGCATTAATTGGCAGTAATGTGGACGATGTATCCTTCTGTTTTGGTGAAGTGGGAGCTGAGCCAGAAGACAAAGCTCTCAATTTACTGGTCGATCTATGTTCCTACCCTCACCTATGGTCATGAGCTCTGGGTAGTAACTGAAAGAATGAGATCGTGGATACAAGCGGCTGAAATGAGCTTCCTTCACAGGATGGCTGGACTCAACCTTAGAGATAGGGTAAGCAGCTCAGCCATCTGGGAGGGGCTCAAAGTAGAGCTGCTGCTCCTCTGCATAAAAAGGAGCCAGATGAGGTGGTTCTGGCAACTACCTAAGATGCCTCCTGTACAGCTCCCTGGAGAGGTGTTTCGGGCATATCCAACCGGGTGGAGACCCCAGGGCAGACCCAGGACATGCTGGAGAGATTATGTCTCTCGGCTGGCCTGTGAATACCTTAGTATTCCCCCGGAGGAGCTGGAGGAGGTGGCTGGTGAGAGGGATGAATATCAAACTAGCTCAGGGCCGGTATGCATAAAACTTCCTAAGAATGGTCTTAAGAATGGTCGTACACTTGGACTTAAGAGTTAAAAAAAATCTTAGCAAAAAGTAGGACCTAAGAGCATTGTATAAAGCTGCTAAAAGTAACTTTCAGCAAAGTCTAAGCCCAATTCCTAAGTGCTGACGGAGCCAGCATTTAAGTATAGTGAAAAGAGGACTACAAATAAAATCCCGCCCCAAATACTAAGTTCAACCAATAGAGGAGCTGCACGGTAAATATATTACTGACATTAAACCGTTAATGTAGAGCTTTATACAACATACCTTTCTGTGATCATACTTTTAATTGATTGTACGAAAATCTACCTAGCACATCACCAATCAATTTCCACTAATAGATGCACATGTTGTATCAATTATGGGTCAAACCCAAAACTCATAGCAAGACATTAGATTCTAAAAGAAAACGTGAAAAAAGAAAACGTGAAAAGGGTGGTATAATGTTTTATCGACCTCGCGAAAGGAAATCACAGTTTATAAAGCAAGCATGCAAGCTACAGGTTTCTGTCATTACTTATATTGCTCGTACGACCCTCGCTATAATAGATGATGATGATAATAATAATAATTGATATTATTATTATATGTTTCCAGTTGTCAAAAACGTAGCTTCATTATCACCTTCAGTTCAACTGTAAATGCATTTTAGGTGACGTAGGAAATTGTATCTGGTTCCTAATTAGGTCGGTAACAAAAAGAATGCCCTCATGATCGAGCCTGTACCTTTTTATCAATTCATTATTGTCGTACGTCTGCAGGACGTCCTTTCTTTGACGGAAAGTGCGCGGTCTCCGTCTGGAGCTGCCATCATTGAACTCCTAACTGGCTTAGGAGTCCTCTCCAGCTCTCTTAAATAATTTAGGAGCTGAGACAAAGTCTTAACACTTAAGAATGTTTATGCATGCCACTTATTCTTAAGTCTGGGAGTAGGAGCAAAATCACATCACTCTAAGAATTGTGACGCATTTAAGAGTGAAATTTTACTCTGAGAAGTTTTATGCATACCGGCCCACATCCTTACTCTTACCCATTTTTCCTGCTTCCAACACATCACCATTAAGAACTAACTTTTCATTTGCCCAATATATAATTGCACCCTTGACAGGTGCTATTGAAATAAGACAATCAATGTTATTCACTTCACCTATAGCTGTCAGTGGTTTTAATGTTGTGGTTGATCGGTGCATTGTTGTTACGTCCCTTATTTTTCTTGAGGAAGGTCAAAAAAATTTCAGTCATAAATTAATTTATATTTATGGGAAAAACTGGTAGTAATCACCCGTGGTAACGGCCTGGATAAGCTATAAGAAAATGGATAGTTACTGTACTACATCAGCTATGTGAATGTGTCAGGTACTAGCCAAAGCTCTGGGATATCGTGACAAAATATAAAATTCATCATTATATTACATAACAATGAGCTACAACAATGTACATTCCCATTTAAATTGTTGCTTTCAGGTTCCTTTCCCACAAGGCCGATTCTCTGGTCTGAAGATATCAGGGGCTCAGCTCAGAAAGTGTCAATTATAGTAACATGGTGACAGTGACTGTAAAATAAAATACCTGGGGCTTTGCGGAAAACATTCAGGCCTTATTCCTGTAAGCCCACCCCAGAGGCCATCCATACATGTACAGTACGTTATTAGCTCAACATTCTGATAACATGTAGCCAGACATATTTTTAAGGCTATAAAAGTTTACTAACATAAACTTCTTTTGTCAGTGCCTATGTGTATTACAGAAGAATCCGAAACGTTTACAAAGATTTGGTCAAAGCTGTCGTAGTTGTTAATATCATTATCAAAAGTATGTCTATAATGAAACTAAAACAACACTAATGACTAAGCACACGCTGTTCCTAGACCCGATTTACTTTGCAATGCTCGGCCACTGGATGATTCCATTACAAATATGGGACGCACTACGTGATTTACGAAAGAAAAAAAGATACATTTTAATTAAAAACAAGTTGGCTGTATAAACTTGTTTTAAAATGAGGCAGTTAATGTATATAATACTGAGGGTTGGTGTCATTTCCTTTCCCACCCCTTTGCTGATCAGAATGAAGTGACCAACTCCCCCTTTCTTCTCTTGGCACAGCCCCATTCCAGCTGATCTGCCCTGCTTCCCGGTGCACATACGCGGGATCGTTCGTGGTCGTGTTACCGTCCAATTCCTCTTCTATCCGCGCCTGACGGCTTCTGTAGTCGTCCGGGACGGCGAGAACACTTGATGGCCTTCGGGTTTCTGGACCTCGGACCGTCTTTGTGAAGCGTAATTTCCAACGCCCGGTTTTGGCTTGAGTCCCATAACGGATAGGCCGCTTCTTCGTCCTCGGTTTAAACTATGGGGGACACGGGCAGTGAGCGCAGCAAGCCGCCCAGTTTACCGCCCCGATGTCCCTGTGGATTCTGGGGGTAAGACGCTGTATTGATAGGTTACATTATTTCGCTGAAGTGCTGGCAAGAGACCAGAAATTTATATAACCACTGGCCTTTGGTGTTGTTAAGACTCATTGTTATGGACCCGGCCTGGGGGCGGGTAGGGGGTAGTTAGCTGATTTCTTTAATTATTAGTGACATACAGATTTGGCGGGTCAGTCGGTTTGGTCATTATAATCGATCACTTTTAGTCTCTCTAGCCGAGTAACCAGAAGCTGACTTGGTGGATATATCGCAACACGGCGGTCTTGCGAAATGTCATCTCTGCTGTTTACTTTGACAGTTTCTTCATCTAGTTAGTTAATCTGTGTGCATGTCCTCAAGCCCGTTTAGCAGGTAGTCTCAGGCAAATAACTTTGAATTATGTTGCTGTCAGCCTTGGTCTCTCTGTCATTGTAGATGGCAACAATAAAGTAGGCAATAAAGAGCTGAATGACCAGTAGCATTTCCTGTCAACTTTTCCTAGGTCTCTGAGTGTGTGGGAAGGTGTAATCAACAACAATCAACCTGTTTGAATAAATGCATATGTGTTGCACAGTCTATTGGGAAATTATATATCTGGAGGACTCTGTATCCCAAAAAGCCTTAGATCGGATGGGAACAAATCAATTATTTTCATCCTGTGATGTAAGAGTATGTCAATTCTGACTGGGTGTAGTGTTTCGAGGTGGAATGGGAAGCACTATTTTCTGGTAGACTTATATTTAAGCTGTACATACTGTATGTCTGCAGTCCTTGGGGATTCAGGAAAGATTCTTCAGGAGCATCTCTAACCATCTAAAAGTTGCAGGAAGTAGCATAAGCAATTTGTTGTGTGTTACTGCCCCCTACAAATTCTGCACTAATATATAAGAAATGAGAATGTACAGGTGAGCTTTAAAGCCCCAGATACATGGGGTTAAAGTGTCTATCAAACATGTCAGTTTGCCCCTATTTATTAAAAGATGAGGCTTTCTGCCTTTTTTGTATTTGTGGGTAATTTCATGAGAGAGGTAATATTTTTCTCCCTGTAGACTGGGCTAAATTCCAATAGAGGAGTTCAGGCTTAGTAACTGTCTAGCTGATAGTTATCAGGCAATACTCTTTTCATGATAATGTCTTATATTCACAGGAATGCAGATTATCATTATTAAGACCCAATGTGTCTACTTGAAATGATGATACTTTATTGATCCCATAGGCAGTGAAGGGTATCCACCTGTAGCTGAATGTTAAGGGCCTTGCTTATGGGCACAGGCCTGATTATTCTGCCAAGGCTGGGCTTGAACTGGTGACCTTATGATCTCAGGCACAGAGGCTTAGCTCACTGAGCCACACCCGTCGGGTTCCCAAAGTGGCATACATCCAGTATTTTTATATGAATATTTAAACGGAGGGACTTCGACACAAGTTTGTATTCCTTCAGATTTTCATTGAAAATCTGGGTTTATGGTTTTAAACCTCCTGGTTGATGCTGTACTGTATATATCTGAGAACTTTGCTTGGCTGTGCTGTTAGCTGAATTAATCAAGTAATTACATCCAGATTGTATTCAGTAGAAAATAATTTGGGTCATTGAAGAAGATACATAAGACCCAGATTATTTTATATATATATACATTTTAAAAATATATATAAATATGCATACTAATTCATACTAAGTCATTATTAGTGGTATTTAATTAAAACACATTTCACCTAAGTTGGCAGGTTAGGCCACTGTGGCTGTGATCAGAAGGTCATGGTCCAAATCCCATGGTTGGAAAAATGCTGCAATGGCCCCAAGTACTGTCTGATCCTGCATTCTCAGTATGTCACTTTGGATAAAAGTATCTGCTAAATTAATAAATATGGATAAAAGAGATCCTTTTGATCTTAAGGCTTATGCTTCCTAAATTTAATTAGATTTTCAACTAGCATGTATGTAGGAAACCTTCTAATTGGCATTAATCTTTCTTACTGTTTATTCCCCAGCTCCAGCAAGATGAGGAACCTCTGCTCCAAATGCTTTGCAAGTGAGTTCCTAGTTGCTGTTTTCCGAACTCTGCTTGCTGCAATTCCTGTGCTTTTCATGGCAACTGCTCCGCGCCCCAGTGGAGACGACCTTGCTGTCTGTCTTGGGTCTCACCCCTCTTTTCCACATCTGTCTCATTTTAGACGTACAGAAGAAGCAGCTGGATGAGGACTGTGCTCCAGGACCCAGCCCCAGCTCTGGCAGCAGTCAGTCCTCAGCCTTTAGCAGTGACATCAGCAGCAGCAGCAGTAGCCATTCGCTCCCATCAGACCCCATCAAGTTAGAGCAGATGACAGCAGAAGACAAAGCAACCATATTAATGCCCGTTCAGGAGAGTAAGAGAAACTTTGATGCTCTTCAAAAGTATGAGTTAATCAGCAGTCTTATTTGCCCTGGTCAGGCCCTGTTCTGTGACCCAAATGGTTACCTTTCTAGTAGCAACTAAGGGCGCTTAAACCCTTAAAGTTTATGTCCACTGCATATGTTCTCCGAGACAGTCATGATTTTCATCCTTGCTGTTTAAATCACTCCTTGACGGGTTTGTGAGATATTGATGTTAAACTCCTTTTTTGTTTTATAAATACCCCAATATTTATTACAGCAAAATCACATTGCAATACTTGAAAAAATTCTAATGCTGTGCTATTAGTATATTATACAAAATTCTTTATTTCTTGTAATGACATCCTGAAATTGTTGTATCTGTTCATCTGACCTGATCGCAGTTGGGTCACTTAATTTGTCCATGCATCCATTATTTTATTTTTTTATTTAGCTTTGTTTATCATTGTTTTCTGAGTTTGCGGCTGTTTTCAAGGTGGCCGAGTTGTGTTTTATGTTGTAATTGCTTAACCAATTGACAAAGAGAGTTTCAAGTCCCACCCCAAAGTACTGAAGTGGCAAAAAAGTACCCCAGCTGGTTTGGCAATTTTGGTACTGGAACGTTTGATACTGGTACCAAAAGTACAGTATTTCGTGTGGTGGAAAAGCGCCCCAATTTACCTTCAGCAGAGATAATGTGAAGTCAAGCAAAATCACCATTGATTTCAGTTCAGCCTTGATCCAAGTATAATAATCTAGGTCAAGACTGTTAATGTCACTTGTCATCAGATTTCCAGGAAAGATTCAAGCTCCCTTTCTCTAGGTTAATACCAGCTTTCTCTATTTGTCATGCATCAATATAAGTTACTCCATTGTTCAAATTAATTGGGAGCTATTTAACTAACTTGGAAAAAGGTTGTGTGGTTCATTTAAATCATGCTTGAGGAACAGTAGGCAAAAATAATTAGGAAGAACCGTTTGCACCCCTCAGATGTCTGGTGATCCTCACTTCAAAGATCTTTCTCAGGAGGAAGTGTCTTTAATCTGTCTTCAAAGAGTCACAGTGCACTGTTTTGGTTAGTTACTTCTTATTGGAATTTTCCCAGAGGGTCCCTGCTTCCTTGCGGATAAGAACCTACAATAGCAATGTGCAGTGTGGCAAGAATCTGGCACTTTCAGGAAGGGTGCTAACACATTCTGTCTGGTATGTTATTGGCAGTCCTCTGGGGCTGCTGGGAAGGAATCTATCACTACCAGTCTACCAGAGGAAGACTTCTGGTTCACATGAGCGTGTTGGAGGTGCAAATCCCTGCGTCTCTGTTACAGCGGGGTCACTAAGGGCAGGAGTGTGCAAACGGCATATGTCTGAGTTTTTTTTTGTCCATATCTTATATGGCTCTTATATACTAAGCTTACCTATGCTCAGTCCCGCCTGCCTTCAACTGGGCCACATGACTTGTCATCTTATTTCCACCACAGAAGTTTCCAGCACAGACACAGGCTCGGCTACGCTGCTGACAGCCTCCAAACGGCCTCACGACTCAGGTATGTTCATGCCTTGAGAGGCTGCCCCTGCTTCCTTTGAGTGTGAGTTGTATTGTAGTCAGAATCGATTAAAGCTGGTTCTTGTGCACAGCCATGAATCACAGCAGTGACGCTCATGAGGCTGGGCATGTAGGATAGAGCAGGGTTTCCATATTCATTTCCCCAATTTTGTTTGACAGCCTCTGTTCCTTTAAGTAGATGGATGAATGAATGAATGAATAGATGGATGAATGGGTCCCTTTTCCTGTCCAATTTCCCTGTTTCTTTTCTATATAATCCTTCATTCCAGTTCATTCACTGTATATTCCGTACGTGGTGTGATGCTCCTTAGTGATCCAGTGAGGGCCTATAGGATGGAGAAGCTTCCCTAAACAGGCTTGTTCCTCGTCCATTTGTGCTGTTGGGACTTGTGGCCCTAAGTGTTCTGTCTTCTCAGACACGGGGCCAGAAGAGGAGGCGACGGCGGCGAAGAGGGCGAGGCCCAGTGAGGAGGGTGCGTCCCACGGCGGGCAGAAGCAGAGGAGCCGGCGGCGATGCCACTGCTGCCAGAGCAAACTGGAGCTGGTGCAGCAGGAGCTGGGCCTGTGCCGCTGTGGTCAGTCACGGGGGGCGTGTGGTGGGGGCCACGCCAATGTGGGCCACGCCAATGTGGGCCATGCCAATGCGGGCCATGCCAATGCGGGCCATGCCATTGCGGTCAGTCACAGGGGCAGTGTGTTTGTCTTTGTGTGCGTTCCCTCACATGCGAGTCCCATGACTGTGTTACATGTGTTGAAGCTCTCATTGGCAGTGACCATTTACTGACAAGTCAACAGGTTACATTGCAAACAATAAATAAAATGAAGTTTAATTAGGGAGGCATAAAATGCCAATGGATACTTCGTAACTTTTCATAGAATTACTTTTTTGCTGTTTTTAAGTCTTTGGTTACTACTTTGTTTTTTTCTGTTTATTCCTTTAAATAATCATTTCCAAAGTTATTCAGTGGTCCATTCAGTTATTTTATTTATATTAAGCTGGCTTGAGAATGCATGGTGATGTGATCAGCAGTGACCGGTGATTGGTGCATCTCTCCGTCTCCCAGGTAACGTCTTCTGCATGCTGCACCGTCTACCCGAGCAACACGACTGCCGTTTCGACCACCTGGGTCGCGGTCGCCAGGAGGCCGTGCTTAAGATGGTAAAGCTGGATCGCAAGGTGGGCCGGTCATGCCAGCGCATCGGGGAGGAGTGTTCCTGAGTGGAGCAGAGACAGAGAAATAAAGGAAAAAGAGGATGGGCAGGTTCTCCTGATCCACTTTGACTGGGCCGTGGCCCAGCTCTGTATGACTCTTAACTCCAAAACTCCCCCCTCCCTCCTTAGCCCCCAAGCAGATGCAGCTTAGAACACCTGTAGCCTGAGATGCACCCTCCATCCTGGTCACACGGTTTCCGTGGGACACCCTGACTGGACCCGGCATCTGATCTCACTCAGCCTTAACTTCAGCATGGACCCTGTGAAGGAGCTGACCCTAGATCCTACTGCTTTTTCTCCATGGAGTAAAAAGTGACAAACTTCAAAAAATAACTGCAGATGCAAACTTTCTGGAGGTGGAGGAACAGGGAACAGAATGCATGCTTGTTCGTGGCCCTAAGTGGGAATTGACCCCATGCCTCTGAAGCTGGCTTATAGCACACACCCCCCAGGTCGTCCTGGATGCACCTGACATGGAATGGTGCCTGGAAGCCCTCTTGTTCTGTGTCGGCCAGGCTAGGGTCATCACCTTCCCAGGGTGTCATTTTGGTTGTATCACTGGTGCACTTTGTCACAGTGTCTGGCAATCAGTCTGCACCCAACTTCCGAAAGTGAGCGAGACCATCGACACTCTGTCCTGTCTCATTTTATGGATGGGTTGGACTGTTTCACCATTGAAGGCAAGGCTCTTAGAGTCAAAGGGCATTTTGTCCCTGGTCTCTCTCTCTCTCTCTCTCTCTCTCTCTGCCGATGAGTAATGGACTTCATGCCACATAATGGGAATGAGGTACACGTGTACAGATGAACATCAGCCTGCTTTCTGGCTGCCTTCTAGAGTGTCTTTGTTGTACATGTGGATGTTAGCGAGTCTTCGGGGGCTGGTCACACAGGGAGGATGAATGTGCACCACATGGTACCACATTGATTGGTCAGACCTGGTTGATGTGCTGATGAACTCCACCAGAACCGGCGTATGCAAGACATTAACCGCCTTTTATTCATTTGGAATGCGTGCTCTAAACTGCATTTGTCAAGAGTGGGTGACTTTCTTTCTCCTTCCTCGTTTACTGGTTTTGGTCCATTCACCGTTTCTTTGAATATGAAGTACGTTTGACAGTGGCTGCTGTTCTACCATTATATTCAGGAAATGCTCTATTTTGATGCTGGATGCTGGTGAGGAGGTTGGTGGTAAATCACAGTAAGTAGTACTGATGCGGATTTCAGTATGAAATATATTTGGATCAGTTGAGTTAAGCTGCAGAATAAAGGCTTGTGATGAAGACCAGCAGCTTGTCAGGAAGCTGGCAGGAGTTGGACGCCCGCTGTCCTGAAATGCCTCGCTCACGCCACCCTGCCTTACTTGGTCTCCTGTCCTCTTCGGCTCCTGTTCCCCGTGAGGAGCGAGCGCTGCCCTCTTAGCTCTGACCTCTTCTCCCGGCCCGGTCGGGGTCCTACACTGCTTTAGGAGGGGCTGGAGAAGGATTTTCAGCTTTTTTTGGTGAGAGCTGTACTCACAACACAGAATGACCTTATTGTCACCCAGCATCTTAAAGGATAACTCTTATTTAACACTTGTGTTTAATTACTTGTTTTATTTTTGTTTCAGATTTACAGTAGCACATACCTGCATTTTGGTTAAATTTGTGAACTAGAACTGTTCTGGAACTTTCTTTGCTTTTTGCCCTTTTTTCTTTGCTTAAAAAGGTAAATAAACTGGATTGACACTTTGTGGTGGTGGTTGTTCCATGTCCATTGACTAGGTGGTTGAAGCAGACCTGTGTTTGGCTAGAACTGAAGACCCCTGCTGTAGTGAACAATGCTGGTTGAAAACAATTAGTGTGTAACAGTTGGGTTTTGCATTTGTTTTATCAGAAGCTTTTATCCAAAGCAGCGTTTTTGAGGAAGCAGGGTCAGTCAGTCCCTGCAGCAATTGGGTGTTAAGGGCCTTGCTCAGGGACCCAATGCTGAAATCTTTCTGCCAAACCTGACATTTAAACCAACAACCTTCTGATCAAGGCATAGTGTCCTGCCCCCCCCCCCCCCC